ACTAAATTACAAGCTTAAAGAAAATTGTACACTTGTGCTAATTCTTTTCTTTGGCATCTTTGTGTTCTTTTAGTCATTCACTGATGCTCACAATTGTCTCTAGGTTTGGGAATGTATGAAACACCCCTCTTTCTGGCCCATGAGGAAGAGTCTGGTGGCCGCAGTGTTCCCACTACACCTCTGCAAGTAGCAGCCCCAGGTTGGTGCCAAACAAATGAGGACATTTGATTTTATTGGTGATATAGAACCCCACTGAACCTATTCTGGCTCAAAATTAATGAACCACAAAGGTAAATGTGTTTATTTTCTTTCTTTCTAAGTGACAGTGTTTACTGAGAGTACCACGTCTGATGCTTCAGAGCATGCCTCTCAGTCTGTTCCGATGGTGACAACATCCACGGGCACTCTGTCCACGACAAACGAAACAGCCACCGGTGACGATGGAGATGAAGTGTTTGTGGAGGCAGAGTCTGAAGGGTATGATTTTATTGTATAGTTTTTGTATGTTGTCAGTAATTGTTTGCTTGAGCAAACAGATGCATCAGAGTCTATTCTCAGTGTTACCCTACTCTTTGAATAAGCCAAAGGCTGTGTTTGGAAAAGCTGCCTTGCGTTCAGAATCTAACCAGTTTCAGAATTTAGGGTTACTATGAGAGACAATTTTAAAAAGCATTGTTGAAAACTTTTTTTTATTATAAGAAAACAAATAATTTGCTAAAAGGAGCCCATAGAGAGTTAAGTTTCAAACTGGAATCTAATTCTTGTAAAATGGGAAGTTTGTACTGTTTAATTGTCAGAAACATTGCTGGTAGAGCACGTGTTTTCTGCTTAGAGCTCAAGGACTCTTTGACGATGTCTCGTAAGCAGGACTACTGCGGTACTATAAGGTAAAGAGCAGGTCTGTTTGTATTCTTTAACATTGGTACTTAATTTCGAGGAGGTTGTAAGTCCCACTGAGAATACTAGCTGCTACTAATTCTCTACATGTTTTTGGGTCACTTTATATTTGTCCTACACTGTATTCCTAAAATGTATCACTTCCCATCATAGAAATTAAGTTCAGAGCATGTTAACAGTAATTTGCTCAGACTATTCTACTGGTAGCCAGCTCGGGTGAGACTTGAAACCTTAACTTCAGCCCCGTGCTGTTTATACCTCTCCATCTTATAACCTCTTGGGTAAGTTGTTACCAGCAAACGTACTAATGTTTTCAGGTGATAAAGGAGGAAAGATTAGACCAGATTCGAGTTTTTACTAGCTACCGTCATGTGCTTCTTAAAGGGAGAAAGGTGAAAATATAGCCACTGAATCAGGTCCTCTCATACCCATAACTTGTTACTCATGGTGACTTACTGATCTGTTGTTACTAGTTGAGGCAACTGTGAATAATCCTTGCCTTTCTAGAATATTGTTTGAGAGTTTATCAAAGTCTAATATATTCCCTGTGAGTGTTGAGAATGTAAACATGCTTGTCAAATGGTGAAGAAGGGCTGCTGAATCAGTGGGAAAACAAAAAGCAAAATTGGAGAACATCCTAGTAAGGAAGGAGGTGAAAGGAAAACAACTGAGTCCTCACCCCCAACCCCTGCTCTGCTTTCTTAAAAAAAAAAATGGCAATTTTTATCAGAGTCTAGTTAAAACTAGAACTCTATAAGTGTTTACAAAATAAATCAAAAAAACTTGGGAACATTTGGGATACTTCCTAGATTGTGTTTTACTTTTTTCTAATCAACATTTATTTTCTTAGTATTAGTTCCGAGGCAGGCCTAGAAATTGATAGCCAACAGGAAGAGGAGCCTGTGCAGGCATCTGATGAGTCCGATCTCCCCTCCACCAGCCAGGACCCTCCGTCCAGCTCTTCTGTGGGTAAGGACTGTGCGCATGCAGCCTGCTTTATCCCCCTTGTCTGCAGAGGTGCTTACCAGAGACACAGCTCTCATGGCCACACTCCTGACTTTTAAAACACATTCCCTAATTTTTATCATTAAAATGAGCTTATTACTGCGATATTCGGATATTCTGGCATTAATAGAAGCACAAAGATGGTAGATCCACACCAGAAGAATAGTTTACTTATATTTCATCCAGATAAACGGTGTCAGCACAGGTCCTGTAAATTGTTTGGGTCTCCTAACTGTGCTACTTAGATTCTGTTTTTTTCTCAGATCCTATGAATTATTCACCTGTCTAAAGGTGCTCTTGAATTGGAGGGGTGGTTGTATTGGGAAGGAATCAAAGGAGTGTTTCCCCAGCTCTCCTGTTTGTGCCAGAGCAGCTTTGAACTGGAAGTTTGGAGGTGGGACTCCATTTACTTCAAAACCATGTTAGAAATTTACTAATTTAAAGAGTTGTCTTTAAGTTTTTAAATTTAACTTGGAAAGATTATGTAGATACTTCTGTGGGATATGTATATGCATCTTTTGAGTGCATATATATCTTTTGATGTGTGTGTGTGTATGTGTGTGTGTGTGTGTGTGTGTGTGCATCTTTTGAGTATTAACTGTGTGCCAGGCTATTGTCAAGCCTTTTACATATTTTATTTGGTTCTCACAACAAGCCAGTTTGGTAGGGTCCACTCCCATATTTTAGGTATGAAGACTAAAGCATAGAAAAGTTAAATTATTTCACAAGGTCATGTAGCTAATAAGCTGTAGACCAGGGTACAAGTTTTCCTCTAGAAACTCCACTCAGTAAAACTTCATGCTAAGCTTTTTAATTTTAGACTGCGTAAGGCAAGTCACCTTCCATTTAAGAAAATGGAATACTCCATCATGATGGTTATTCTGAAATTTTTATAGAACAATCATGTTGTGACAGACTTGCTTAATTGTATTTTACAGTCACATAATTTTGTTGTCCCCAAATTTCTTCCTATCCCTCTTAGTTGCTTTTCTGCCATTTCAGCCAGTTGCCTTATAGCTCTGGGTTCAACTCTTTTGTCCATATTTTAGCAGCTGGCTACTTTACATAGCCACATCTCATACTGAATTTCATAGTCAAAATTGCAAATAGCTTTATGCACAAAAAACTTTAAATATAATTATTAGTCCTGATCATGTTCTCTGAGAATTGTCTTCCCTCAATAGTAGAAGTAATACTAGTGACCAAACTAGCCCTTGTGTGAGAAAATGTGGCTGATTGTTACTAGAAAATAGAATGCCGTTACATTAATCTTGTTCTCTGGCTGGGTACTCATTCAGAAAATTTGAATGTCTAAAATAACTGGGAATTTCACAGAAAATGTGGCCCAGAAACTGACATTTGGAAAAGGATCAAAGCTATGCAGTTGTATAAAGTCCCATAAGCCAGTGGGTTGGGTCAGAGACATTCAAAGTCAGCAAGGAGGTCATCATGGCTGGCGCAGAATGAGGACTGAGACTGGGAAGCTTATGATGAAGGAAAAGCAAGTAGATCTTAGTCATTGTTTTGAGTCTCATAGAGTTGGAACACAGTTGAAATTCTTCACATAGAATAATGATATGATGCTGCAGGCATTTTTGCCATGGTGTATAAAGAGACTAAAATTTAGTAATGAGCAGAAACACCAAATGTGGAAGCTGTTGAATGCAGAGTAATGCCAGTGACTTGAACAAGATAGAGCTGTGTGGTTCTGGTGAGTTTGTTTAAATTTGAGCTGACAGGATTTGATTTGAAGTATTAGACAGAACTACAAGTCAGAGATGATAGGATATTTTTGTCTTCTCTGGAATCTGATTCTTTGTTACCATAATATTCGCCTGCCCCTGGCATCCTGTGTATACCAGAGAGTTGTCTTAAATAAAAACCTCCTGAGTTAGTTGAGTGTTTGAATAAATAAACTCCTATGTTTTTTTTTCTCCAAGTAGATTGTTTTGATATTGTGTTCTGGTTTTGTTTTGTTTTTACTTTTTGTTTCTGGTTTTGTTTGTTTGTTTGGGGGCAGGGTTTCTCTGTAACCTTGGTGCCTACCCTGGAGCTAGCTCTTGTAGACCAGGCTGGCCTCAAACTTACCTCTGTAAGTTTGCCTCTACCTCTGCCTCCCAAGTATACTGGGACTAAAGGCGTGGGCCACCACCAATAGCCTTGTTTTTACTTTTTAATTGCACCAGTTTTTGTGTGTGTTTGTGTGATTGTTTAGTTTCCTTCCCTCTGAAGAAGCAAACTTGAATATTGAAAACAATGGGCACATCTGAATTTGTGTATTGATCTAGTAATTGTAGCAGCTTTGTTGTTAAACTTGTATCTTAATGCTTTCTTTAGATACTAGCAGCAGTCAGCCGAAGCCTTTCAGAAGAGTAAGACTTCAGACAACACTGAGACAAGGCGTTCGTGGTCGTCAGTTTAACAGGCAGAGAGGTGAGTTTCCTACGTAGAGGTTAGTTGGTGTGGGATAACATGTGCAACAAGTTTCTAAGGTGAACTGTAAGGATTGGTTCATAACCACATGTTATAGTGTGGTGCTTAACAACCAGAAAGCTTCTTTAAAGCAGTTTATTTGTCATAGGTACAAAATGAATGTGTTTTTTACATACAATTGGTATCTTATTTTATTGGATCCAAAGAAAGATTTAGAAAATCTAAAGTGTTATTACACTGTGTATTCATTGTACTAGCTCTACCTGTGTTCTTATGTTGTGAAGTGCTTTTTGTGCAATAAAAGTTTTGTGGCTGTTGTAGCTAGTAAAGAAATACAAGATTTTAGTATTTTCATGTTTTCTAATGTAACTCGTTAGACTGCATTTACATCAGTACTAGTGACCTATTTATAATAACTGTTAATCAACATGGGGAATACCTTTTAATATTTATAATATCTTAGGTATTTCTGTTGACCATGAATGATTGCCTTTTATTATTTCCTTCTCCAGGTGTAAGCCATGCAGTGGGAGGAAGAGGAGGAATAAATAGAGGGAATATTAATTAAGTGACCTGTAAACTATTAACACCTGTGAATAAGATTGGCAAATCTGTTTTAATATAATGATTGTCAAGTTGAGAAGTGTTTTGTATAAATAGGTATGCTCATTTCAACATTCTTTATTAATAAAATGTATTTCAATGTCAAAATTGATCATTGTTTTCTTCATTTCATTTTGGTGACTCTTGTTTGTCCATCAATCTAAGGACAGTTATACCAGGCTTTGGAGAGAGTCTGCCCAGAGCGGGTAGTGATCGCTCTTGCTGTTCTAGTTGGCACATCGATGTTATAGTATTGATCTAAATGGGAAAGAGAAATCGTCTTTTAATTAAAAAGAAGGTAAAACACTTGTTTATGTTGATTATTATATTCAAAGCAGTATCATTTCAGTATCAAAAGTGATCTCACTAATTTCCTGGTGTGTGATGCAGTGATCTTTCAGCGCCCTTCAGTACTGTTAGGGTCAGTGCTCCTTATAAAATAAGTATGTAAAGAACTAATTAATTTAAAAGATGATTCATTTGACTTTTATCATTTTTAAAATATACTTCTTAGACATTCATATTACGGAATCATGGGTGAAATAATTTAGATAACTCGTCTTTTGAAAGATAAGTGTCCTAGTTAATATACTTTAGTTAATAAAACTCCGTTCCATGAATGTCTTCTACACCTCTAGACTGTATTGATATGTAGAATTGATATGTATCACTGCTCATAGAAACAAGTACTGTTTCTCTTTGTCAGGTTTCTCCTCAGCTCCTAGCAGTGCGCTGCCGCCCCGTTAAAGGAAGTTAGCGCCGCAGTCTCTCCCCCCATGCTCACGTTGAGTGAGCACTGATGTGGAGTTTCTTCCTTACAGTCAGGACTGTACACTTGCCATCTCCACCTAAATTATGTTTGTGCTTCCACCATTGAGATCAACTTGGGAAGTTCCCGAAACTGTTCGCATCCTGCTTACCTTTAGAAAAGGCATAGTAATCATAGCCGTCGGGTTTTCTAATGTTAGGCAGTGTTATTGCTGACGTAACAATGTTTGGAAACCCTCTCCACATTGTGCTCACTTTGACTTCGTTATGGAGGAAACCTGCAGACAGAATTTGTAATAAGGTGTGTGAGAGAATTTACAGCCTTAGAGCTACATGAGCCCAGGTTCTGAATTGGCTCTCTGCTATGGCATCAGCACCTCACTGGTAGGACTGGCTTGAGGGTTAGAGGTTTATATACGGTGCTTGAATAAACTACTTCCTTTACCCACAAAGGAAAAACAATCTTTGGTTATTACTCAATAAGGCAAAGGGGTTTGTTTTACATCAGTAAGTTTAAATTATTAGTACTTTTTGACCAATAATCTCCTTCGTGGTCAGAATTCTTGATACGATGAAAGCATTACCCTTGTCTTGATAAACGACTCTCATGGGCAGCGAGTAATGGACTCTGACGGTGTGTGTCTGGAAAGGTCCAACAGCACGCTCGAAGCGGCGCCTCCTGACCTGCGCTGCCTGCCCGTACACCGAGTAGTTTATAGCAGGCCTCCGTCCAGTGCACTTCCTCACGGGCTCATGTTTGTAAGTGTACTGCTGAACACTGCCACCTGTTACGGTAGGAGAATCACGTAGCAAACAAAAACTCGTGTTAACCCACACAAAGGAATGGCTTAGGATTGCCTTTACATTTTGTGGTTGTTTTCATAAATATATATGGAGAGATTTTTAATAATGGCTATTGTTACTTGAATAGTTAACTGAAAAATATTCTTGAAATACAGTAATTACTGAGATTGAAATGTGTGTTGAACAGATGAATCCAACACTTTGTCTCACACAGTCAATGATAGCATTCTTTTTGTCAAACCAAGATGTTCTATGTTTCACATTGCAGGAGACCTAAATTCTTATGTCCTGTAGTATTTTTAGCAATAAAATACCAGCATCAGTTTTTAAAAAGCAGTGTCACGTGATCCACACCTCTCTTGAAAAAGTACACGGATTCAGGCCTGTCCTGGTGCTTGGCAATTGAAAGAGCCGCCACTATCTTCCCTGTTAGCCCTCCGAAGCCCTTGACGATTTGTTTAGGATACCCGGCATCTTGTACATCATTAGTGAAGCGCCAGTACTGAGAATCCTGGTTGTTAAAAAGAAGATGATGTTAAAGGATTTGTAGGCATGGTTCTGGAACATTCTGATTTAAGTGTAGGGGAGCACGCTAACTTGGTTGAATTTGGATAAACAGATGATAAATAGTATGAAACTACTTTGAGAGATTCAGTTTCCAAATTGAAGGTTAAGATGAGTTAGGACAAGGTGCAACTGTATCTTTTTTTTCAAGCAATATTTCTGTTACCTTAAAGAAGAAAGTTTTCCCTTCACAGTTGCATCTAGTGAAAACAGTGTCAATAGGGGAAGGAATACCCCAGACTTCCGTAATAAGGCGTGGTGGGGATGGTGGTCTGAATGGATTTAGCATCCAGAAATAATGACCTAAAAATTAAAGAGACATGTCAGCCTTGAGTCTGAATAGTAAAATATGTCCCCACAGAAAAGAATGTGATTATAAAGAAAAAATGAATCCAACATGTTAAGTGTCTGGAAGCAGAGCCAAGTGAAAAAGAGAAAATTAATTCAGATAATTAATTTTGAGGGTTTTGAGACCATCTGTGCACCCCAGGCTGACTTGAACTCAGACTCTACCTTCCTCCAGATCCTGCGTGTTGGAATTAGCGTACTCCTGCACCCACCTTGATTCTTATTTGATTTGGTTTGGGTTAGTTTGTTTGTATGTGTGGACACTAGCAGGGTGTATGTGGAGGTCACAGAACAGCCTGTGAGAGTTGGCTTTCTCCTCCCACCATGTAGGTCCCAGAGATCAGTACTGATCATCAGCCTTGACAGTGGGTCCCTTCATCCACTGAGCCATCACACTCGCTCATTTTCCTACTTTTCTAGAAAAGATCATTTTGCCTTTGTGACGAATAGCTCTCTGGGTTTCAGTGGTTTTACTTTCTAGAATTAGAAGTGCTTTCTAAATTAGAATAACTTAATGACTACTAATATCTCTTGAACATTTACTATGTATGGTTTGTTTTTGTTCATACTTAATCTGTGTTCTAGGTGGGCTAAAATTCCAGTCCAAGGGAAATCTACTTAATTCGCTGTTACTCTCAAACAAAAAGTACATCTTTTCTTACCTCACAATGGAGGCATACTTTTCTAAGAAAATAGGTCATGGAATGCAAATCTCTGTCATTCCATTTAGTTGGAAATCGACACTTTGAAATCCTATCACACAAGCCTTCAGTAATTCCAATTCAAGTATTTTTGTATTTCTGTGCCTAAATTAATCCATCCAATATTCTCATTTAGTGTAGAATGATGAGTCAGTTTCCCTTTAAAAGCACAACTCAAAGTAGCTCACTGCTGGCTTTGTTTTTAGGATTGCCAGTACAAAACAAGAAGAAACACATTCATGTACTGATAGCTCACCTCGAAATGCAACTAACGTCCCGTTGCGCAAAGTCGTCAATCCGTCCACTGGCTTACCGTTGCACAAATTGGTCTCATCTAAAACAAATCGGGCAAAGTTAATATAGAACAGATGGGAAACGCATTTGGTTGTTTTCAAATCCTTAACAGGATTCTGTTTCCTGTTTGCCCTTCTAAAATCTAGTAAAGTGAAAAGGAAGTGATAAGGTTCCATAATTCCTCTTCCCTAATGTGATTCAGGAGTCTTACTTAAGAATAATTGAGGTATAAGAGGCTGGGTTGTCCTAATCTTCATGTACATGAGCTATTTATTGGACATTTGAACTGTTTTCAGTCACTGCCCTGAGGTTGAGTTAGAAAAGGAAATGAGTTTTTTTTTCCTTTGCATTATGCTCTCTGAAGGATAAAGTCCTAACTAACTAAATTATTTTGACATTCTACACCCCATTTCCGCTTACAACAGACCTGTCCAGACTTCACCAACACTACGTTTCTGACACTAATTACCACTCAGTGTCCTGAAGACTAAGTATACTGTGCTTGTTCTTACCCTGCACACCTGTAGGGAAGCTGTCATCAAACTTGGTAAGATCCCCAGTTAGAGTTCCAGACCATGGATCTCAACAACAGGAAAGTAACTGATTCTTAGTACCTGAGAGCATGGGATTGGTGCTAATGCCGTGGTTGAGTGTGCCAGCCAAGTGATCAGTGCCTGGAATCACGATGGGGGAGAGCACAGGAGGCCTGGGGATCACGAGAGGTTTTCCTTCTTCACCTCCGTCTGCATCTTCATGGTCTGGGTCTGCTCGAGCTGTTTCTGAGTCTGGAGTGTGCTTAGGGCTGGCGGTGGTGGGCAGCACGGCGACCTCTAAAGGAGTGGTGTGCCGTTCAGGCCCTGCCGGCGCCATCTTCAGGGCAGATGGTGTCGGTTTTGGGTTTTTCTCCTTTTTTGTCTTTGGCTTTTTGGTAGAGGCGGGCTTCTTAGGTGCTTTGGTTGGCTTTTTGGTAGAGGTGGGCTTCTTGGGTGCTTTGGTTGGTTTCTGGGGTTTCAGAGTTGTCTTAGGAGCATCAGGATCTTCTGATGCAGGAGTGGTTTCTTCAGGTTTGTCTGGAGTCTCTTCAGCTGGAACAGTTACTTTGGGTGCGACAGTTTTCAGAGTCGTAATTTGGGGTGATGTGGTAGGTTTTACTTGTGTGGTGGCACTTGCTTCTGACTCAGTAGTCTCTTCTGGTTTAATTGTTGTCTTAGGGGCAACAGTTGTAGTTTTAGGTGGGTCTTTTTCTGTTGTCTTCTCTTTAGCTGCTGTAGTCATTTCAGGTTTGCTTACCTCGGGGGTCTTAGTTGGCGGCACAGTGGGTTCCTTGGGACTGTTTTCAAGAGCCTTTGGTGTGGGTGCTTCAGGAAACTCAGGAGTTACTTCAGCAGGAGTCTTGGGAGTTGTGGATGCAGGCTCTTTAGAAGTGGTAG